GTGAAGAGAATTCAGTGTTACCTGTAAATAACATCATATCACACGTAATTACTCAGTGCTAGTTTGTTCGTAGGTTTAATAGCGACTGTCTGGTATTAAACCACACAGTCTTCATGTATGTTTCAGGGCTAAGAAAAGAGCAGGCTGGTAATGTAACTGGGCTTATTATCAGTCTGTGGCCACAGATGGCGGAAAGCTATAATCCTCTTTAGCACCAACCCCAGCCCTCTCCCTTCTTTTCTCCGTCTCTCTTCTTCTGCCTTTCCTCTCCTCCTCCTCCTCCTCCTCCTGTTCTCCACCAAATAATGTCAAGGTAACGGCTGTTGAAAATAGTCGGTAGTGTCCAATTTCCGGTTGAAAAAATAAAAGCTAAAAAATAAAAATAAAAGCTTTATTTCAGGTGCGATTTTTACCATCAAACCTTTAGGGTTTGATGCAAATGTAATTACCCCGTTTCACATTTGCAAATCTCAGTTCAGCTGCGTACACATTACAATTTTGCCTTTAATTCAATTCAGTTTTATCAGTCACCTCAAGGTGCTTTATATTGTAATGCAAAGACCTACATACAAAATAAGCGTCCTAATTAGGATTAAGAACCATTCATAATCAGTATTCACAGATTTCAATATAATACAATAGTTTTAGGGTGGACCCTTCAGTTATTAAACCCAAGGCGACATTGTGTAGACTCATCACTGTGCATTACATATGCCAATTACAAGAGTGGAGAATAGGTCTGTAGTCTGTCACGTGCCTGTGTGCAAGCAAGAGCTACGCCTGCTCATCTACTAAGCTAAACTGTCACCCTAGCAGCTCCACTTTTAACAAACAAATACATTCTGCTGTTAAAGCCAGTTTCTTCCAGCTGAGGGCCCTTGCAAAGATTAAGACAATTCTCTCATCTGCTGATTTTGAGATAGTAATGCCAGTGCCTTCCAGAATTGATTTTAGGATTCTTTTGTTTATTATTAAGGCAAAAATAGATCAGCACTCTCTTACATTTTTGAACTTTTAACTATGCACACTCCTAGATCATTAAGGTTAACTGACTAGATGCTTCTAGTTGTTCTGTTTGTTTAAATCAGGCCTTTTTCTTTAGTTGCACCTAAAATTTGGAACAGTCTTCCTCTTCAAAGTAGGACCTCACCAGTACTCAACATCTTTGAAACTCACTCGAAGACAGATCGTACCTCCCTTGTGTTTTTCTTTTGTTTAGTTCAGTTTATGTTTTTTCCTGTATTGTCCTTACTTTACTTTAATTTATTTATTTATATAGCAC